GAGTGAAAGAAGAGCAGTGAGTAACAGAAAGTTCTAAGGGAGCAGTGTATRCAGGATTACAGAGATGAAAAGGGAAATACTCTATCTTCCTTTAAAGTCTCAAGCACTCTCAGCATTTCTGACTCTTACAGTATAGTTACAGGAACATATTACCACAAGCTAGACAAAGGCATTGATTCAAGGGTCTTCAGCTGCCCATATGTATCTAGGACACACAAGGCTCCAATAATGGAATAAGCTGCTGCTTATTCAGTTTCAGTGAGAGTCCAGGCAGATTCCAAAATGACTGTCCCACAAAAATTGTTCTAATAACCATACTTAAGGTTTGCAGATCCTTACCTGAGGACTTGCACTGGTGTGGTGCAAACATGGTTACTGCTGYAATTCTTCTAGTTGCATCATCAAGGTGAACAAATTATTGATGAAGGAAAAAGAACACAGGGCAGATATTTAGCTYAGGAACATGCATAAAATGCTTCATTGCCCTGAGAAGTCACAAATGAAGCTCATAAAGAGAAAGATGACTGTAATAGTAGGAAAAGAGAAGTGAAAACACAGCAGTATAAAATGTAGTATATTCATGCATTACAGTTTGTAGGCATCTTGAAGTGTCTCAGCTCATTGTATGCTGCCTCATCCCTTTCTCTTCATAAGAAAGTCAAGAGGCATGAGGGCTGAAGGATGCAAGCAAACTCAGTAAACCAGCATGGCAAGGAGACAGCACATGGGGCAGAACAAGGAAAGCACTGAGACACTTGTGAGAGACAGCTGGAGTCAGGAGCAAGGGTTACTGGCATGGACATGGAACATGCCAAGGAGAGGGTGCTTCACGATAGTGAGCATTAACTTGATGACTTTCAACCTGATGAGCAGCATATTAAGATACTGTAATGACTCAAAGAGAGTAGGCAYGATGGTCAAGCCATTGATGCAATAGCATCAACAATTTGAAAAGATTGGGGTGGGGTTGACTTCAGCACATAAAATCTAAGATGCTGCAATGAAAGATGAGTRTGGATGAGAGCAGAAAAGAAGGTGTATTTAAAGGAACATCATGGAGGAATCTAACATGGCTAGATCATGTTCAGAGAAACTAAAGTCCCAAACTTTTTAACTGATAGAGGGATTACATTTCTAGACATTACAGCTCCAAGGGCAGCTTTCTAGATGCAATCCTGTCTTCATCAAGGGTGTGTCTGAACACAGATGCATGCTCTGAGTTAGGGTGTGAATTCACAGGATGTTTTGCACACTGCATTAATTCCCCTATGAATTCACCTAAGTCTCTAGTTGCACAAATACTTGCAACTACACTAAAACAGTGGTAGCACCAAAAAATTTTACTCTCACACCAGTGTTATCATCTCAACAGCAATGCACAAGTATTTCTGCAGGCCTGCTGTGAGCTGGATCAAGGAATTAAACTGAGTCATTATGAACTGCTTGTTTTGTTAGATCAGTTTCAAACCCAGGATGAATTCCTCRGTCTGAGCCACCTGGTGATCATATAAATTCTTTCATTACCATAAGGCAAAAGATGGGTTCTTTGGGACCCCTCTATAATGACTTGAGGAATAAAGCACTAAGAATTCCTGTGCAAAGCTGTGTTTTCCWTCCAGAAAGCAGAGGGAACTACTTTGCACCTGAGAGCCCATAGARGGAAACTGGTGCACAGCAGTCAGGGTCCTGAAAAATTCACATCTTAACCCACTGCATATAAAGTCTTCCATAAAGAAAACCCCTGCAGCTCCACAGAGGCAAACAGCAGCTCTAGACAGGCTACACACTGCTTTCTTCAGCCTACGGGGAAGGGAATTGAACACTTGTAAACACATATGAAATATATGGTGGGTTTATGRAAATTAAAAGGGTTTATATGATTATATATCACTGTAATACTTCATCTCCATAGTACCCTCTTACAAGTATCCTAAATTGGGTTGAAAATTTTATTATCCTATAACATAATACATAGGTTGGACAGAAAGAAGGCAATCTTCCTTTTCTTAGATGTTACTACCTTAGAGGTTCTCACACCTGCTGACCAGCTTGCAGTACAAAAGTTCCCAAACTGGGTTAAAGTTCCATTTGCTCCCTGTACAGCAGCACTGAAGTAGCGGCCAYAGCAATGGAAATAATCTCTGCTCTTGAGCCAGCCAGCACACCTGTTYAGAGTAATTCTTAGATACCACGCTTGGCTATGTCTCACCCAGCCAAACAAGAAAAATCTCCTCCCTTTGAACTATGACTTAYGATTCCCCACTCTATCCTTTTCATATTTTGTGCTTTTCACACAGCACAATCATTCTGCTCCTATCATCCAAAACCAACTCACCTGGCAGATGCTTCTAARATGAGCAACTATTCCCATTTTCAGTAAGAGAAACACAATTTTGATTATGAAGACTTATTCCTGGCTTACTGGATATTTGTACTTACTTTATGGGGACCATACATCAGCCCAATTTCCACACAACTCCTGTAGACACCTGTRTGAATACCCCAGTGAGTAACAGGAAGAATATAATCCTGGAATGGTGTTTACAAAAATGCAGGAGAGAAAACAGCAACAAAGATCCTTCAACCTTCCCCATCCTGCTCTTCTGCTAATACTGGCAGTTTAGATCAAGTTCCAATTATAGCTCACTAAATAACCTACTAATAAAAGAACTGATCTAAGCCAATTGTGAAACATATATGAAGAACTTTTGCTGCAAACCTGTAAAACACAGGATATGACAGTCTAGCCTCTGCTTCTACAGATGATTGACTGCAAGAGCTTAATAAAAAARGGAAGAAACAAGAGATTTCTCAAGAAACAAGAGATTCACGAGGTACAATCTTACTGAGGCTGGACCATCTTCACTATATTCACAGACTGCCTGGTACATGTACGATGGGATGTTGTGTCTGCTAATGTAATCCTACAATAGTAAACAGGCAGACAAAGTCTGAAACATATACCAACATTAATTTTATTTGCTGAAATCAACAATCAACTTCATAAYATTATTCAATTTGGATATGCTTTTTTCCTGCCTAGAGCAGTTTCCTTCCTGTCTGTTGCAATTCAGTTCTCRAACTGTTGTTGCTGTTTCTGCTCCTTTTAATAATTTGACGCTGTCATTTTATTCCAGGTTCAAGGCTGTTGGCYCACTGCCATGTAGTCAGCATTCCTAATACTCATGCAGTGACTGAATGGCAATCTAAAGTGGCCTAGATAATAGATTTGATAGGATGTTTTATGAATATGGAGGAAAGGATATAAGAACYAACACAGGCAAAAAGTGACCTTAGCCCATGGGAAGTTCATGGGAGGATCCTGATGTATGCATTCCCACAGGGAAAGAAGAAACACTGATCTCAGAAAAAAAGAATTAAAATAAATTTATTCAAATCCAAACAAAAATGTCACATCACCCAAACAAAACAAAACAWAACMAAACCAGAGACTCTCCCACAAATAACACTATTTTCTCTCACATGCTTCCTTCATCCTTACTATCCTTCCTCACTGATWAAAAAAGAATTTAAGACTTTGTGAACTAATATCTTATAGCTRTAAAAAAAGGCAGCACTYGATTCCTTCATCCAGATMATCAAYGAAGATATTAAAACRGARTGGGCCCAACACTGAACCCTGGGGGACACCACTAGTGACTGGTCCCCAGCTGAATGTAATTCCATTCCCACCACACTCTGGGCYTAGCCATCCAGGCAGTCTTTCACCCAGCGAGCAGCCAGTTTCTCCAGGAGAATGCTGTGGAAAATGGTGTCAAGGGCTGCACTAAAGTCCGGGAAGGCAACATCCTTTCCCTCCTCTAAGCAGATCATCTTGCTTTAGAAAGAGATCAGGCTAATCAAGCAAATCCTTGGCAAACAAGAGGAGGTCCATATTATTCCACATTATGTGAAGCAATACTGGGCAATCAAACAGAAGTTGGCACTGGCATGGAACTATGAACACAAGCCATCACATGTCCTGACATCAGCAGTTTTGATTAAACTGTCTCTGATGAGTGCAAGAGCCTGAGTCAGTCTGTGAGCACATAAACAGGAGCAGCTCCAGAGTCAGTGACAATGCATCTGCAAGGGCAGGAGTGAAGCAATCCCTCTCACGATCCAAGTTACTGAACAAGCCAACAAGGTGCTTTTGTGGAAGCGGTTCAGTGCAAAAGTGCACTGCAGCATTGCCTAAAAGATCCAGCAGAGCAGGAGCCTACCATGTCAGGGACCAAATAAAACCACAATAAAGACACAGCCCATAATATAAAGAACCAGTATTTAATGAATCTTAACTTGGAAGTTTTTGTGTTTTGTTAAAGTCTTTGCTCAAATCTCTGTGACACTGATCCATAATTTTTATTTTGTTTTATACAATTCACTTTTTATTTAGCTGGGATTTACATACAGTATTMCAAAAACATCTACAAATCTGTCTTAATTATGCAAGACAGATGTCAAACTGCTACTTGACTGCTTTGTCATGTCAACTTTGTATGCACAGGACTTTGCTGACAAAAGCAATTTTATTTCACTTAGGATCTAAGCTCGAAGCACAGCAGCTCCGGGAGTATTTACACTGAAGCTTTGCTACCAATTCAGCATCAGGGCGGCACTCATCTACGTRAAGTGATCTGTTGACACTAGATTATCAGCTTAACTTTTTCAAGAATTTTTTTCCTGAAACTCCAACAGTCCTGAACTGTGCATATAGCAATGTTATCAAAGTACTGGGATGACTCTTGGAAAAAAATACCATTACACAGTGCTTTAATGACTTGTCATCTTTCATGTAATAATTTATAACAGGATAGACAATGTCTATATCCTTCCACTGACCTCGTGTTTTAAATAAGTCTTYCTTTTCTTATCATTACAGTAAAAAAAGAGACAAGTCATAGTTGCAGCAATTCTAACCCAGTTTGTTACATGATATTTCCAGAGTCTTGTGCAATGCAAGCCTGCCCTTCATATTCATCACATTTTATGCTACCTACCTTCTGCATTAAGATGCATGGTTTCCAGAGGTCCAATAAATGCATATCTCATTCCCAATCCATCAGACATCACAAGGTCTAGATCAGTAGGAGATACTACTCCRTCCTAAGCAGCAAAAATACAACAGGAAGAAAGACTGGTGAATGTTTGCTTTTAATGTAAAATTTCCCATTTTTGTAAATAATAAAAAATTAGAGATGTAATAAAAACTAAGGCTAGAAACAGCAGTTAGATTGCAAAGAGAAACACACAGCTGTTTGCCAGAAATGTTCATCTACCATGCACGCCTTCCTATGGTTCAGTAGAAGCAGTCACTCATATCTCCAGGACTACGGTACTTCATAGTCCCAGAAACTGAGAATCAGAAAAGAAAGCAAGCATGACACTCTTAATAGCACATTACCAAAAGAGTTTATATCAMATCCAAGTACTATACCAACCCTTTTAAATACAGAAGTTTTGGCTAAATGTTAGATCTCTCTTCATGTTCCCTTAGTTTTGGATTTTTRGGCACAGTCCTAATCAGCAGAATGGTGGTGTACCAGGAGGTACTGCCCCTGAGGCCACCCACAAAAAAGGCTGGATCCAAACACAGAGRCAACACAGCTGCCACTCCCTCCCACAAAACTCCCTGAACAATCAACCTACCCAGCAGCAACTTGCCCAGGGCTCTCGAGTATATTGCCAGGCTCACACCTCAAGAGCTGGCAGGGTTCAGAGCAAGCAAAATGAAGCATTTCTTGTGAAAAAGATGAGCACTGCTATTCCACCCTCATGCAGCACTTACAAGAAAYCCTCCATCAGGTTGGGGCAAGCACAGAAAGGCTTGTAAAAAAGTTACTTACAGTTCTTTACCTTAACAGATTTACTTGAGAAAAAAACTATTTATCACATGAGGTTGTTCTCCACCTACTAGAAAAATATGAATTAATGAAGACTTGTTTTAACCACTTCCATCAGATAAAGCTTGGTCTCAAGAACTTGTCCTCTTTATTCCCAGAGACATGAAAACATTTCCTTCTGGTTAGAAAGGTGGAAGAGATGATGAACTGCTTCTAATTAGTGTTTTTACCTTACTTTGAGGTGCTCTCCCCACTCAGTGTCTCTTCCTTAACCAACCCCTTTGAGCTTCAGAATACAAGTACACAKACTCATCTGCTTGGCCAAAAATACATCATTTCTGTCTAATTTCTCTCTTGAAGGGCCCTGTCTGAATGCCCCTTTGTATCATTCAGTCATGGGCTAGAATTACAGGCATGCAGGACAGCTCTTCTCATCTGTGGTAGACATTGACATCTGAGCTAGACATCTAGACTCTTTAAAATCACCAGGGAGGAAAAAGAAATCAGCRTCCTAAAGCAGCCATGTAGAATAGGTGAGTTCTGTCCTAAAAGGGCCTAATTCTCCTCACCGATTGAAAGATGAGTAAGGACCTTAGATATGACTGTCTACGCTGTAGATATCCCATCTTAAATGAGCCCAATCTCACCCATAGTACCTTCCTRCGTCCATCACATCATCTACTGCTACTTTAAAAGAAGCTTATAAGCCATGAACTAATGTAACTTCTACAGCTGGCCACAGACATCGAGTTTCATCACCTCAGGCTYAAACTGAGACTTTTATAAGACAACCTCAAGCCTCAACCTTAGGCATTGTTAGCAGGCATTTTCCTATGAAAAACAAGCCTGTCTGAATCCCTGTTGCAGAACTCTGTCTTRAAAAGGAAACACTGACATAATTAAGATCTATGCACCATACATGGAGCTCACAGTTCGCCTAATAATTTAATTAGCCACAAAATGGCAGGGGTAACAAAGCATTATTTTCTTCAAATTAAAGGCAAAGCACAGACATGGTAAAGCAACTCATCTAGAGGCAGATAGAAAGGCCTGCATAAAGACAGAACTAAACAAAAACCTCAGACAGAATTCAGATTACAGACCAGCATCAGGGTAACTAACACAGGCACCATAGTTTCCATGAAAGCTTTTTCCCCTGACATGGCAACACAACTTCTCSGAACAACATCAGCAAAGTCAACAAAAGTGTTCTTCTGTTGGGAGTGCTTCATCCAAACAATGAGTTGTGCTGGTAAAGCTGTGCTTGATGAGTGGTTCCCCCCGGCCCCCTTGGTTGACATGGATTTRTGCACAAAAGACTAACCACAAATTCCAGACAAGCATTTAAACCACAGCAGCAGTTAAAAACTGTAAACATAATGTTAAAAGAGGCTCTTGAAGCACTTCAAAATCATGGCAAAATAATTTTCAAATTAAAAACCTGCTTTCTTTRGATACCATAGGCCTCAGCTATTATATTGACATTTGAAGACCAGGTGCCCTCAGAATCATGACAAGAGTGCTTTGCTCTTGGCCTTTTGATTATAGCTGCAATTTGATGTTTGCAGCTGCTAAAAGGCTAAAGTTATTGCTACCGGAAGGAAACCATGACAGATCCCTTCAGCTGAGGGATACAGTATTCYATACAAATGAGCTCAGCTTCTTCCTTTTAAAAAGACCCTCTTAAAGAAAAGCTTCTTCTTCTCTTCAGAAATTAAAAGCACATAAATGATAAACAAATTAGACCRTCCTCCCCTAGGGAATAACTCTACTCCCATTTATGATGAAACCATAAGTTGGTGGAATGATTCACCAGGGTGCAAGGGCAGCAAGGTGTTTTCCACAAGGATTGGTATTTATGCTAATAACGAAACAAGAAAGAGTTCCTATCCAGATTCATTGTCTAGGTATGAAATAATCTTCCCAGGAGGATTTTTCATCCTGGGTTACCCTTCTGGTAAGCCTTTGCCTCCAGCACTTTCTCACAGAGAGAAGAGGAGTATGTTAAGAGTTCAGTAGAAACTCTCATAACTACAGAACTAAGATTTAAAATAGATTCCACCAAAATCCTCAGTGATCCCAATGGCCAGTCAAATTTCAAAATCTAGACTATCTCAGRATCCTCCACACTTCTTACGACACTATTTATATACCACAATCTCATTTTCCTAGTGATTTTAACCTCCACTGATACCACAGGATTATCCTAATGAGCCTTTGGTATTTTATTAGGGCTTCTCCTTATGCAGGGACCCTTTTCACCTTTCCAGAAACCCTTGGTGGTTCTGCAGTCTCCACCTTTAGGCTCTGACCCAACCTGCCTGGTTTTAATCACCAGTCTTTCCATCTGTGAGTCACACCAACATCGCAACTTCTGTCACGGACTCTGTTTGTAATCATATCAAATGTAATGGCCAAAAAGCCCCACAATTGTACTTTTTTCTCATTCCACCAATTCATCATGCTCTCCTACTCACTCCAGCATCTATTACAAATTTGTTTTGGACTCCACTGCCTCCTGGACCACATACTTTCTGTCTGCAAATCTGATGCTTCCTCCTCTGTATCTCTCAAATCCAGTATTCTATTTTTTTTCTGATTGTCACTAATATATGCACTCTCTTTCAGCAGTACTTATTACACCCTTCTCATGACAATCACTTCAATCAAGTCCCTTCCATCCACATCCTGATGAGATCTTTTTCCAGTCCTGTMATTTTGAGCATATGACTTTTCTCCTATATCCCTCTAGCACGTCTGTCCATTTCATAATGTTTAAGAAACTTGTTGTCCTACACACTTGGCACCTCCTTGTTTTGTTGGCCTTTATCTTCCTTGTTCCATGGCACCCTCATTCACCTCACCCTGCAAGAAACACTCAGTATCAATACTATTTTTCTTCTTGTCCGTTTAAACTTCCTTTCTATGATATTCCCCTTTTTACGGGGCACTGTAACTAGATGTTTAATCCTCTACCTTATCTTCAATCTTTTGGAAAAGTCCTTTGAATAACAATGTAATATAATTGCTAGGAATTTGGACTTTAAAAAGTCTTGACAGCATTAAAGACTGCCAAGCTAGTCACAATAAAGTGTTGGTGAAACTAGTTGTTATTTTCTGGATTATGTCAACCAAAATTTTACCTTCAGAACAAGACAAAGTCAAGCTATTTAACCAACACTCCTTTGYAACATAATGCCACACTACTCTAGAATGTACTGGTACTGGTAAAAGTGCAGAAGTAATGACGTCTACAGTGCACAGTGTGCTCCCAGGCAAATGAAGGCAGGTAAGCTTCTGCTCCAAGAGTTATGAACAAAATCAGACACACCAATGACCACTGTCAATGGAGATGTGAGAAAGCAAACAAATGGTAACASAGAATAACAGAGAAAGCAGTTTGAGATATATTTCCCGTTACTGGCTAAAGGTTATTCTAATGGTTCCAAACTGGTAATATCATAATTTCGGCTTGATAAGAGACGACTAAGGATCTTCAACATCTCACAGTATATCTTTTACTCTCATCATTATCAGCTTTGCAACTTTTCTACCAGAGCCCTAAAAATTAAAAACATAAATARGAAACCTACATGAATGCCACTCTCAGACAGGCTGTGAGGTCCTACAGAATGTTACACCTCTGTAATGACATATTTAAGAAGAAWATCAAAACAAAGAAGSCACTCTTTTTTTCTAGCCAGAGAACAKGAGGAGGTGAAAACACATGAGGAGAACAGMATGGAGACACCAAGTGGAGAAGGAGCAGGAGGAGGTGCTCCAGGCTCCAGAGCTGGAATTCCTCTGCAGGCTGTGCTGCAGACCATGGTGGAGCAGCTGTGACCCTGCAGCCCATGGGGTCCAYGGGRGATGCAGAGATCCACCCGCAGCCCATGGGGGAGGTGCYCACACCATAGTAGGTGAATGCCTGGAGGAAGCTGTGATCCGGTGGGGGACCCGGTGGAGAGAGTGGGTCCAGCTTCTTGGAGCAGCCTGGCCTTGGAGGACTGCACCCTGTGGATGAGTGASCCAYGCCACAGCAGTTTTGGGAGGACTGATGCTTGTGAGATGGACACATGTTGGRGAGGTTCACAGAGAAGTGTCTCCTGTGGCAGGGACCCYATKGGGCAGCAGRGGAAGGACTCCTCTCCCTGAGGAGCGGAAGAAGATCTCGGTGATGAACTGACCAAAAACCCCTCGTCCTGTTCCCTGCACTGTCAGTGGGAAGAAAGGAGTGGTTGGAGGGAAGATTGGTGTTTTAAGGGCTTATTTTTACTTATCATCCTCCTCAGATTATGTTAGTAATAAATTCACTTTGTAACTTTCAGTTGAGCCTCTTTTGCCCTTGGAGTGTTTCCTCYAAGTCTTTATCTCAACTTATGACCCCTTCGTTTAATTCTTTTATTCTCTCCTCTGCCCAGCTGTGGCAGGGGAGAGTGAGTTTGTGGCTGTCGTGGGTGCCTTATGTTTGGCCAGCGTCTAAACCACGACAATTAGTATTTAATCAACTTCATAGATCAATTTATGATCCTTGGGTAAATTAAATTTCTCCTTCACAGTCATTTAGTCTTTCCTGCTTCAAAAATCTTGTTCTTAGCAAGACTTATTTTATATCAGATCTCTTCCTTTCATGGAAAGGTTACACTATGGGAACCTCTTTAACAGTGAATGTTGTAGTTCAGGAAGCTTTTTCCTCATGAACTTAACCTTCCTAACAATTTTTAGCAGTTTGTTTTACATTTTTATTCTTGAGGATATTTTTTCACCAGTGTTTTTATGGTTTCTAAAATAATTTACAGGCTAACTTAGATAGGGACAGACTCATCTGTGGTGCCCAGCAACARGACAAGAGGACAGGCACAAACTATAAATTCAGAAAGTTATTTCCGAATAGGAAGAAAAAAATCTTTACTTTGAGGGTAACAGAGCACTGGAGCAGGCTGTCCAATAAGGATTTTCTGAAGTTATTCAAAACCCACCTAGACAYGACCCTGTGCAACTTGCTGTAGTAGGGGGGTGGGACTATATGATCTCCMGAGGTCCCTTCCAACCCCAACTATTCTGTGAWYCTATGCTACTGTCTTTTCTATCCTGTGTCTTCCAACAYGACTACAGCTTTCTGAAGAGGTTTTTCTTATCATAAACCTGAGACTTTGTAATAAAAATCTAACTACAGAAGCCATTTTTAAAATTTAAACAAACATCTCCAGTAGCAGATCAGCTCCTTCCTCACAATGCTGCTTTACTTACTGTTACTCACTACCTCCTTTACATTGTTGTATTATGTCGCTAGTGAAAGATACAGGTAACCAAAATCAATTCAGCAGCTGTGTTTAAATACTTCTTTGGAAAAAAGTGTTGCTTTGTTTACAATAATATTACTTTAGTTTTAAGATCTTTACCTATATTTGTGTGCATGGTTGTTTTAAACAGCTTGAAAAATCAAGCYCATACAACACTCCCTACAACAAAAAAGTAAATCTATTAAAGCCCAGTTGAAACTCTTCTCAACACAAATAGCAACAGACTCAGAACTAGGCTGCTGCTGATGAAAGATCAGACTTTTCAGCACAGTAACTGTGGGAAAAGACGAAGGGACACAAACAAATGATTCTCATCTAGAAGTCTGAATGGGCAGGAGGAGGAGAAATCTGTCTTTACCTACAAATATCAAGTAACAGTTGAACCTACGAGTTCAGTTTGTGAAAGGCCACAGAGAAAACCATTTAAAATATTTTCATGACCTCTGTACAGTAGGCCAACAACACTGTGAAAATTATGAGAAGCCTACAAAAAAAMATTCCGTATTTTGATTCCTGTGCTTTTACGATTATTCTTTTGATTGTCCTGAAAATAACAGTATTCTGAAAAAAGAAAGCAGGACAAAGAATATTTGTTACAATTATGTATCACCTTGTTTGCCAGTCTTTGCTTTTTATAATTGACATCACTTCTTACTGGGTTTAATTTATATTTAAATATACATTTTATGTTCATAAGGGACAGCTTAACAAAGATGACACAAATTTACAGGAAGTTTAAATACACAATCTCACTTATCACATTTACAGAACTGACCAAGTACTAAAAAAAAAGATTTACATACATCCACAAGTCTCCAAGCTTCACTTATCACTGCATACTGTAGTCGATTCAGAACAAACCCTTCGATTTCTCTGTTYAGTTTGACAGGAGACTGACCAATCTTCTTCATCAGGGCATATGTCTTCTCTACAGTTGAAGGATCTGTTTCTGGATGAGGAACAATTTCAACCAATGGCACAAAGTAAGGTGGATTTACCTCAAGAAGAAACASAAAAGAAGAACATCAACCATCAACATAAAACATCTTTATAGCTGCCACTAGCTTGGATAATTTCCAGTGAACACAGTAAGCCTGATATTCAGACCTTGAAAGACTTCACCAGTCCAATAAAAGCTGGTGCARCATGAATTAATTTTTTTAAAAAACTAAACTTGCACTAAATCAAACTCTGTTTAACCCCAGTAAAATTAATGGAGATTCACTCAAACAGTACTAGAAGACTTTATATTGACTTCAGTAACTTTTCTCACTATTCAGGCTGCTTGTTGTTGTAAGACATGGTCACCACCTGTCTTCAAAATAAAGCAAGGCATTTCCTGTTACACAGTCSGGAGCTTTAAAACAAAAGTATTGCTAAACACCACCTGTAAGATGAAACACTTAACAGATAAGCTGCTACTGGCCCAAGCCTGTAAATATATGCTAAACACAGTAACAGATATGACATAAAACATACTTTGAAAATGTTGCAGAACAGGTTACCTTCAAACACTGTASTTAGAAAAAAAAATTACCTCTCCCTGACTCTTTCCAAATGTAATTTCTCATCAAGTCAAGACTCTTGTGTAATGTATTTTCAAAGTAAAAACCAAAAAAAACTAAAGAGCATCCTACAAACAGCTAAAAGTTCTTCGGGTCATAGTGYTACAGACAATATTGGATGCATGCCCTTTCCAAAGAGCATAACTGTCTTTCAGCTGTACTCTTAAAGGTGTTAAATTCAGCTCTCCATCTAGTTCCAGGCAATAGAAGGAACAAACATACAATAAATTTCTACCAGGAATAACACTAACATTTAAAGGATGATAATTAAGTCCTGATWTTTTCATCATGTTCCCTTATAGTCAATTACTCTCAATTGTGCTCCTGTAAATGCAAGTAGAGGACTTAGTGACAGCAATGTGCAAGCRACCTTTCCTCTCTGCACGATCTTTCTCTGCAGGATTTACATGGTTCCCTWTCCTGCAGGGTCTGACCAACACATAATCTGACATATGTCACATCTGCTCTAACTACTGATGTAACACACTTCGTTCCCTTTGGAGGCCCTTGTGTCCCAACACAGCCTCTCTCCCATCAGTCTCTTTGGCAGTTGCCACCACCAGTGCTGAGATCAGTGTGGCAGATGGACACCATTCAATGGTCCCAGGCAACTCAGCAAGACCCAAAACACAGCAAGCACCAAAGCACTGTCTGAGGTTTTTCTAACCCTTAAGTAGATCACAGGTTCCAGTCAGAAAGAAGACAAGTTAATTGTTGAGAGAGACTGAGTCTATTAAAAATTTCTTCAAAGATTAGCATTGACAGTGATCTTATTGAAATATTCCATTTCATTAATTTGGCACAGGGAGTACATGGGTATGTTCATACGCACACTGAGGAGACACAAGAAGAGAATTTTTTAGGAGTGAGATAACAGATGTAGGCAAAAAATGAAAGTGGTAGAACATAGATGAAATGGGGAATGAGGAAATTTTCTAAAAATGAGAAGTATATCAGGAAACAGAAGGTCACCTTAGTCTAACAAAGTGACAGCTAAGAAAGGAGACAACAAAGAAAACACCAAAACAAATTTAGTTGCACAAAAGCTGACAACAAACAGAAATATTAATTTTAATGGAATGTTAATAGACTGGAAAAAAATAAGAACACACAAACAATTTCTAACAGGAGTAGCGTAGTTAAAAAAAGTCTAACAGAGAGAGTTTAATACAGTTTTAAAGTAATTTGATTACAGGGTTTCCTGTACAACAGAGGACTCCAGTCAATGGCACAAATCTCCTCTAGCTCTACATTTCTAGTTGTGTGACCTACTGTACATGACAAGAGAACCATTCTGCAGTAGACCTCTACACTGCCTGAAACTGCCTTCAGAGAAGGGCTGTTTTTCATGGTAATATCTGTTTTGCAAGTATTGTGTGCATTTCTATCATGCATCTATGGGATTTCATTTCTTTTTTCTAATTTCTGAACCATGTTAAACAAAGGGATGAGCTACTTCTGCCCTGTGAGCACTTCATTTCCTTTCACCTCAACACCCTCACCTGCAGCAGAGGCTCTACAACTTTAGCTTTTAATTTTTCTGTCATTCAAATTCCACACTTGTTTTCAGTGTCTTCCAGAGCTGCTTGCTTCCTGCAGCCACCAAATCCTACTATTGTGTTCAAGATTTCAGTAAAAACCAAACCAAACAAAAAAAAAAAAAATAAAAAAAAACAAACCAGCACCCAAAGCCAACAACTCCTACAAACCAAGCATGTTTCCTGATGCAGATGCAGTAACGCCTCTGGAAGAGCACACTGGGTCACAGATTCTTTGGTACACTCAGTACAGCTAAGTAAAGCTGAGATTACTGAGAAAACACTCTCAGYTGGACTGCAAAGACATTTTGGAACAATTAGACATTTTAAGACACTCTAAAGAGTTTGCTTTGAAAAAATATATATCCTTGCAACAGCAAAGTAGAAAATGTTCATACAGAGACTAGCTACCTTTCCAGATCTGATAAAACCTGGTTTCAGGAGTGGATCCTATAAAGACTGCAGTTCAGACTAAACAAAGTCAACTGGTACAGACCAACATGGGAAAACAGTAACAAAGAGTACAGAAAAATCAAAGACTGACAGTCAAACAGGAACTGGTCGAAAAAAGAAATTGTATCATTACTTAATATAGAAATGTTATGAGACATTATATAGAAATATAGAAATGTTAAGACATATTATCTCTTCTCTTGCACTAGAGAAAATTACAACCCTGGAAATAAGAGCTAAGGAACTACTGAATTTTAGACTGGAGAAATGCTAGATCTAGGCACAGATACATACTTCGAAATTTTATTATTTTTATAACTGAAAGGGATTGAAAACTTACTATGAAGAAACAAACTAAACTAATCCTTTTCTTCCTCCTGCCACCCAGTCAACCCCAAGGCACAATGGTGGTGGTGGAGGAGAGGTCTCAGAAAGGCACTGACCAAATGCTTTGACACTACAGCATTTGGCTACAGGCAGCTGTAGAGACACTACACTAAAGTGCTCTTGAGCATGCCCAGGGAATTGATATTTGCTTTACACCCTGAGGGATGCCCTGGAGAGACACCATGCAGTTACCAAATTGCAGAGACCAGAGACTTGCTTCACCTTTCTTCAAACTGACCTTTTAGCTGATCAGTTGACCACAAACTAACACTGGGCTAACAAATTCATTAGCTTACTGAGTAGTGGAAAACAGAAGCAGTAAGAATTACAGTGATCAAGATAAAATGCTCTTTCATGTGATAAACTGCTGTCTGGCAGTTCCAAACAGACCTCTACAGAAGCTCACAAGTGCCCTTGACCATTCTGAGGTGCTGCTGCAACTTCTAGTCATTCCATTTTTGCATCACTGTCCTGTCCCAGTTGGTCACAAAGCATGCAGATTCATCTCCAAGTCCAATTTAGTCCCTTTCATCATTCCTTGATTCCTCTTTCAGGTATACTGCTTCTGCATCACAAGTCTAAAGAAACCAGAGTTTAAATTTCCTGTCTTTAATCAATATTACCTGACAAGCATGTGCAGTTCAGTGCTTGGATTCTTACTGCTACGCAGCACAAGCTGAAAAAGAATACTAGAAAAGGCTAACAATGACAGAAGAAGAAAGCAGCAGTGTTACGAGTTTGTACCCAAAACATAGAATTGCTACATTTTGAAAGCCAGTAGTGTGAGAAACACACAATATCAGCACAACAGCTCACACAGAACATATCTTGAGCCAATACTATGCAACATGCTACATCCTCTCAATTTTGTAGATTAGTGCTGCTGCTCATAGAATAACCAATCTACAAGTTTTTTTAAAAGTTGGCCCTTGCACACTAACTATGTCACACAAGTGCTCTAAACACTTCTCTGTGTCTTTCAGTTGGCAGGAAGGAGCTTGGGATGCAGTTTACACAAAAAGGAAACATGCCATCATACTTACAGGATGTGACACGATGCACTGCTTAACATGTTTAAGGCCWGTGAACAATTTGCTGGGTAAGAGACAAGAGGTCGAGCTGCTCAAGACAACATTGTCACCCACAATAAGATCTAGCTGACCAAAAATCTTCTTTTTCAGTTCCARGTTCTCTGGAGTACATTCCTGGAATAAAACAAACAAAAAAACCAAACAAACCAGTATTAGAAGTCATGCTGTTCAATAGCATCTATCCATAAATTTCAGACTTCAYTGATCCCACCTTGACACCCAGGAATTCAGCACAAACCATCTATTTTAATCAGCCTGGATATACCAATGACCATTAACACAAAAATATCKTTCAGCTAAAGAAATTGAAAGCCCAAGAGTTTATGTACAGCAGAAGATTGACGACCATACCCCACAGGAGATCTAACACAAATGCAAAGATTCTGTTTTGTCTAAAATAACACACTTTTACTCACACAGGGAGATAACAAAATACTGAGGAATAGGACCTGGTCTCCAATTCTTTTTTTGTTAAAGAGAATCTCACAGGATAAAAGTCAGTATTCTCTCTCAGACAAGTTGGAAATGAACAGGTGTATTTCAAAAGAAGACAAACTTACAATCTCCAGAACTATGGCAGGAGATTCCAAGGTACAGCTCTGCAATTTGTGCTGAAACAATTCYCAGAGTTGAAATGAATGAAGATACTTAAGCATTTTAAGTGTGAGGGTCACTGAGAAAGATTTCTGAAGTAGAATGGATGGTATCAAAACTTCTCCCAAAGCTATTGAGCACGTTCAGCTCTACATTATTGTGTGAAATTTCACATATAGGAGCCAAGACCCACAACTAGCAGTCTGCTAGATTTCCAAAATTATCTYCAGGAGCTGCCTGAAGGAGAGCATGAAAAGATCCACTAGTTTAGAAGGAGAAGGATGTGGGATAATAACTATAGTGGGTCCCACAAAAGACTTTGGTTTATGAGAAGAAAATGGAGGAACAAGGCCAGCTTGTTTTCTAGAGTTTTTGGCAGAGTTCTAAAAAATCCAAACAGGATCCCAAAGTTGCAAAACCTCAGCTTTCCCTTTAAAACACATAGAAAATACCTGTACTTTTCCAACTCTTACCTTCTCTCACTTGTTAGTCCTTGATTCTTTATGCTGAACTGCACATGGCAAGTTTAGGGAAAAAGACTGCATATTTGACACAATCAAAAATTTACATTTAATATTTTCAGCTTCAGACAGACTCTGTGGCAGGAATGCCCAGGGCCAGAGTTTTTAAATCAATAAATGGGTTAAAAGTAATTTGAAGTCTTAAAAAATAAGCTCCATGGAACAGTACTAAAGGTTCYATGATGCAGAAGAGATAAACAGGGTCATTTAAGAACTCCAGATAGAGCCCAAAGTATTAGATGGCCTTATCAAAACGAAATGATACTCTGCTGATAGTTCCAGAATCCCTGCTTGTTGGTTAGGTGTAAATGGTTTCTTTTAGTGAAGCCAAAGATGACGAGAACGCTRCAGATACTGTTCAAGCTAATAAAAGAGCTGCTCTGAATAGGTTTGTGAACTTGAAACTCTAAGCCTGCTCTCACATAAGATGATAATCAAAAAAGGCAAACTCAAATCTGCTGGAAACTCAAACCTGCCACGGTTACGTAAGGTTTCTGAATGGGCCATTTGCTTGGAGTTTCTTGTATAGTGTCACAATTGTATTCAGGTTGTTGGACCACTGCAATAAAGTTTCTGTTCTCAAGCATGCAATTATTTTCTCAGAGACACCAATTCCCAGAAGAACAGGAGGAAAATTAAGCTCTAAACAATCCATTAAACAGGAACCTCACTTGTTGTCAGTTATGGAGCCTGGAGAGGTCTGAAGCTATTCTGTTTACCCTGAGAAAGAGAAGATCAAACAGAGAGCAGATAAGATATGGGTTTAAAGCTACCACAGTTTCTCTCAAAGAATCAGTGCAAAAAGGTTAGCACGCACCAGTACACATTTTAAGTGACACTGTATATTCTGCGCCCTTTTCTTAGGGGAGATCATACTTCTCATTTGCAGTGAACAGTACACCTTTATTCCAAGGCTTGGTCACCTAAACAAGGTTGCTACTAATCTGACTTCCAATAAAACTTTACTAGACATCTCTTAACAGCTTAATTAGAATATGACAGCTGTTAATTTTTAAAACCCCATCTCCTGGAAGTCTTGTATTGAATTAAAGGCTTAAAGGCAACAGCAATTAAACTATTCAAATACATATTCAGAAAACACATAGCAGCTACTTAAACCAGTTTATGAACTCTTAAGGAACTACACAAAGATAAACACATACTAGACTCCCTCCCTAGCAAACTGATACACCACATGGTGACTGAGATCTAGTCACCCCTAATAAAGAAGTTACATTCACATGACACAACCCCTGAAATGCCAATACATGGAAAGCCAGTGAGCTTTACCTGTTTAAATCCAATGTCTCTGTGTTTTTGTATAGGCTTTTCTCACCATGTCATCCACCATCTGTGCTCCCACACGCATCCACGCTCATCTAAACGTACAACTTCATTTTCCTAGATTTAAATGCTGGCATCTACTGAGGTTCTTCCCATCTATTCTCAAATACACCAAAGTAGCAACTCCTCTGTACCTTCTAGGAAAATACTCCCCAAAACACTATCTTGCAAAACACCTTTTTCYTATACTATCAATGAGAATCACTACTAAGCAGTTTAGTACTGGGAGGCAAAAGAAACAAAACATGGCCTAAAGCAAAGCCCCGCAACACAGTGGTATGTGTAATAAGTAATAAATAAGTAAACATCCTACACAAGCAGTATAAGATGGCAGTATAAGATAAAAGCCAGATATTTTAACTAGCATGCAGAAGGTCAAAGATCAGCAACCACTCAGCAACAAGCAAGCCACTTTCTGTAAGATCATCTAGAGATGCTTTCACAGGGAGCACCAAGCCTTCCCAATAATGAGTATGAAGTCTGATGGTAGCCACCAGCATCAGGAATTGCTGAATAAAGTCCAAAAGCTACAGCTGCACAACAGTTAATTCCTGCCTCCTGACTACATGTTGTCTGCTGCAAATTCAAAACATAAAGAMGAAAGTATTTCTTCTCTGGCAATCTTAATATGAAGATTTATGATAATATACATTCCTGCAAGTGAAGATACACCCATCTTGAGCTGTCCTAGACCCCTCTTCGTTCTAGGACTGTATCCATATCATGGGATTCAGAAGGTCTTTTCTTCCTGATCAAGTGGTCCATAGCAGACATGTACGACAATTTCTCCCACACTGGTGGTCCTGCTATCCTGACCGATAGGTGTTCAACTGGCTCCTCAATTAATCTGAGAAATTGCACTGTGTGCCAGAGCACCCTAGGCAGCCATTCCCCCCCCAACCTTCATCTTGTACCACCTAATAACCCCCAAGAACTGCATTTCACTGACATCCTGCAGCTGCTACAGCAAGAGCACTCTGTGCCCTTGCCCAACCATAACTGAGGTAAAAAATTATTTTCAAGAATTCTGTGACTTCCCTTTTCCCAGTAAATTCAATAAGGTTTTAAGCAGCAGGTAAATTGTTTAGAAGCCATGACCACTTTGACTGCAACAAGAATGATCCTCATCTTCTGCAGTTAAGTGAGCRTCTCCAAATGTGCCACATGCCCCTGCTCTGTTTTACACACACATAAAACTTACAGCATTTTAAGGAGCCTCAGTTTGTCRATGCTGTGATTTAGCTGACATTTTTAAGGCACTCCTGCAGAACAGTTCCCAGAATCAAGCAAAAGCAATCCTCTCCTCTCATGGAATGAGGCTGTAGCAGCWGATTTCAAAGCACCAAACTATCCCACAAGCTAGACCCAGACTGTCAGCACTCCTGCAACAGGAACCACATTATGTCCAGCTTTTTGTGGGAATATAAAGAACTTCACAGGATTAAGGGACAAAGAGTTCTGCATCTCAGAAAAGGAGAATTTCTGAAAGCTTGGTACCTAATACGTTTCTACAAACACTTCCATTATCTTATCTAGTTATAATCCACTGGAAAAAGAACCTCTCAGAAAAGACAGGCTTAACTGTTTTACTTTCAATCTAATAAGTGACTTCAGAATGTTTTATTTCTAAAAGAAAGCCTGATTAACATAACACTACAAAAAGCTGGGACCTCTAGATTTTTATACACATAACCTGAATGCTGTTTAAGAGACATTAAAAACACCTGAAAAGCAGAGCTGCAAATTTAATTAAATGAAATAGAGATGTCATAATCATTATGACCATGTATAGATAGCAACTGCACAGTCAAATACACCTATTCCATAGAATTGTACCACATCTAAATATTACAATAAAGGATTCTTGTAAAAGACTCATTGAAAGAAGTATATGCTAAAATCAGCTCTCTGCAAATGAAACCATGCAATTTAACAACCAGTTATGTTTCCCCACTATCACTGGCCAAGTTGAGGTTACTGAAATTATTAAAACAAAATTCCATCTATTTGGTCCATCTTGCACACAGACTGCTGTTTCAGTCATTGCCACCATTTTATTGAATCCACATCTAATTATATTTTAAGCAAAAGAGTGTTTGAAATGCTCGCCACTATCATTAAGATTTCAGTCCTAACCATTATGGTTTCTGTTCAGGTTTTTGTGTTGACATGCTAGTTTGTTCTGCTCCTGCAGGGTTTAGGTGTGTATTTCCATTCTGGAAGAGTAAAGATCCACCTTCCACTAAGGAAACCTGAGCTTTTTTCTACTGTATTCCACGTCAGACGCTGAAGTGCACTCTACTCAGTAAACAAGAGTCACACACATGAACTGGGGAACTACGCCACCTGCAATTAAAAAACATCACATTTGGACTGCAGAGGCTGGAAGTTCACCTACTGAAACAAGCAGAGACATATCACTGTATTTTTAATATCAGAACAAGTTATTAAATCAGAGCATCAATTTTGCTTSTGATGTTACTTGGCTCAAACTTGGCTCAAATATCTATTTTTGCATACATTGAAGAGGTYTGATAGTTTCACAAAATTCAAAATCATTACATATTTAAAATACAAAAACTTGACTTCAAGTATTTTGGATTTTATCATCATGCTCCTCTAGAAAATAGTTTCAGATGCATATTCTGAGGCACT